GTTACATTTTATTAGTTGATTGATTGATGTGTTTGTCACTATGAGCAAGCTGTTGTACATGACTAAAGAGCAACTATTACCACACCACACCACCATCAGGACACTCCGCATGGGCAAACCTTCGCACTTGGAGGAACATGGTGAGGTGGCAATAACATCCCTTACCGTAATCCAACAGCTTAGTACAGCTGTTACGGTACCGTAGTTATTGAGACAACACTGTAAGTTTTCAGGAAAGAATGGAAAGAATGTGGAGGGGGGAAGCGCAGGGAAGGGGCGACACATGCGCACTCCCCATGTGTTTGTTGACTCGGGGCTCTGCCTTTCCATCCTGGTTAGTTGACCTTGATGCAGTGCAGGCTGGTCCAAACGTTGGAGTCTGGGCTGGGCGACCTCTTGCTCATACAAACTGTTGCAAGCATGGAGATTATATCAGATCGGATCAGATGAAGATGCGAATTGCTCACTCGCTGAAGCTCCCTCCCATCCCATCCCACATCTTTCTACCAGAGCACCTTCATCAGTCCTGTGGCTGTGTGTGGTGCACCGGCATTCGACTTGTCATTCGCCCTTCCTCCACCCTGTATGGCAGGTTGCTGGCAATCATAAGCCCACAATGCCACACGGCTGTTGGTGGCGGTGGTGGTGGCGGCGGCGGTGGTGGTGGTGGTGCAGCGGCTTAACTCCAGAAAGCACATGTGGAGCTTCAAGGCTCATGCCTCCACCTCCTGTCCTAGTGACCCAACTAAGAAAAAATGAAGGAGAACCAATAATAAAATACAGAAGTTGAGCTGAACTGCAGCCGCTATGACCAGTGCGTGGTATTAAAGAGGCGCCTGATGGTGGCCCCCCAGTGATAGCCACACGGCCACCACCACCCAGTGCACCACCACACATGCCCACACGGATCCCACACTCAAATACAGCCAAGCGCAGCCGCCCCCGAGCAGGAAACACGCCAATAGAAACCCCGGATGCGTGAAGAGGCGCACGGCGGGCTCGCGGAAGAGCAGCGCGCACGCGGGGTGGTAGAACACGAAGAGAGCCGTTGACAGCAGCCACCAGAAGAGCGCGAACGGGAGCGCCTCGTCGGGCGCCATGACGTCTGGAGATAGCTCCGCGGGGTGCGGGAGCAGGAGCACGCGGAAGAGCGTTTCCTCGAAGAGGCACGGGACGATCGCGATTTGCAGGAGCAGGAGCGGGTCGAAGCGCGCGTGCGGAAGCGAGAGCGCGTCGGACCATCGCGCGCAGAGGTAGATCGGCGGGGCGAGGAGGAGGAGGAGGAGAAAGGTGGTGAGGATGGCGGGGAGGGGGAGCGGGGAGAGGAAGGCGCGGGAGAGGCGGGAGGAGAGGAGGAGAAGGAGGTCCCAGGGGAGCGATGCGACCTCGGATAACAGCGTGAGGGGATGGGGGAGAAGCGCTAGCGCGAGATGCGGGGGATCCATGGATGTGGATCGCGGGCGGCGGGAGGCGGTGGCGGACTGCAGGCCGGCGCGCGCGATCTAGAATGAGCGCGATCTAGGCCACGCTTGAAAATGCTGGAGTGAAAGCATGGCGGAGCGCATTGGGATCACACATATTCGGAGGAGCAACGGCCACCTGTCGTGTCCTTGTCAAACGGCAAGTCGAAGAAATTCGGCGTTGTCGTCCCTTGGCAGGCGCCATGGCGGAGGTGACGCGGTCCGCGGTGCTTCGCCCCTGGAGATGCTGGTGCAGCGCAACCCCCGAGATTCAAGTGTTGTGAAAAACGCGATATAGTACAGCCCAGTTGGCACTATGAGGTCAAGTGCATGTAGGATACAGTATAAGGTACAAGTGTCGACAATATACCAACTCTCGTGTTTATTTGTACTTAGGACGTGGGCCCAATCGACTTTGATCGTGGCTAATCTGATCGGATCGGATCGGGTCGGGTTGCTTCTGATCGCTTTTCCCGAGCCGCGCGATCAGTAAAGAATTTCCACGGAAATTGTTCGCGCCTGCTTGGCAAACGCGAGACGATAACGTGGCACTTTCGCTCCAAATTTAGCGAGATGGCGACCAGACTCTTACCATCCGAAATTTTTGGTTTCCCTGTAATGTCGCAAATACCTAACAGCCCTAGTTGTGCCGAGACGTATGAGCGATGAAAAACGAGACCAAGTACAACAGAGCAACATTTCGCAAGCATCGCTGTGGTCCCGATCACATGCGATCAACTGATCGTCTGTGATCGAGGGAAATCGATTCTGATCGGGGTAGAATCGGGTCTGATCGAGTTGGGGCGATCAGCTGATCGCGATCAGCTGATTGCCCCCGATTGCCTAAAATTAGCTTCCTGCCTTCCTCGAAGTTCCTGATCGCTTTTGATCGCGCCGATCAAAGTCGATTGGGCCCACGTCCTTACCGCACGACCAACCATCAGCCAGGACTTTCGTCCAATAAGTGGGTGGCATTCTGTTGTCCCCGTTCCAAGTCGCAGCCAATCCCATTAGTCGTCCACGTCCATTTCCCTGAAGCCTTGGGAAACTTCGTAGGGATCTCCCTTCATTTGCCAGCCTGATTGGCCTTTGCGACCATTAATGCGACGCCACGTCAGCTCAACATTTTGAGGCGTATGCCTCGTTTCACCGGTGCTCGTGCCTTCACAAAAATTTTAACAAGGTATACTTACTTGGGTCAAACGCGATATTTCTCAACCATGTGCCAACCAAGCTCTCGTGCCTTCTCAAATCGGAAAACTAGGAGGTCGCGCGGAGGACCCGTTACAAGTTTGGGAATACGTCCTGAGAAGCTCACAACCATTCAACTTTTGAATCCCGGGCAGACCACGAATCCAGGCTGGTTGCAAAGGACCAGCTGCAGCGTACTTTACACAGTGCCCGCACAAATTTGCCTCCACCAGCTCAAATTGCATTGCGACGCTTGTGCGTCACACGCACGACGCTCTGTGGAGCGCAGCGACGGAGTTTAGGGCTGCTGGTGGTACTGTATCTTGACTAGTTTCACCGTGTCTCCTGCGACCATGCGATGCGATCCCACCGTCGTGCTGCACACCACCTCCGCATGCGGACGCTAATTCTGTCGCAGCTCCCATGCACGCAACAATCCTCTCCCATGCCATGCCATGCGTGCGAGAATCGCTTGTGCATTATTTTCCACAAGATGGAAAGCTGAAGTTTCTCTGCCAAGCTTCTAGACATTTGAGAGATCGCGAATTTGGAATTCCTCACTAGTCAGACTTCGCAGGGGTGTCCATTGGTCCTAGTCTTCTCGTCTTCGTAGCCCGTCTGAGCCCCATGCACGCGCAGCGTGAAAGCGAGGCAGCGCGGTAACTGTTGTCCGCGCAAGTCGCATCCTTTCATTTCTCCTCATGGCCCTTCAGGAAGTCGCACCGTCTCCCTCCGTCCCTGCCTCCTCTTCCTCCTCTGCATCCCCCGCTTTTCCCGCTCCTTCTCGCCTCGATCCCCTATCTCCTCACCTTCCATCCCCGCTCGGCGCCCCTTCCGCGGCCTCCGCGCCCGACAACCCCATTTCCCCGCGATTCTCCTCCCCGCGCGCAATCTCCCCCCCGCCGCTTCCGCCGCCCCCTCCCCCGTCCGTCTGGGCGCGTGTGGAGCGCACGATCAATTCTCTATGCCACAACCGCTGGTTGGGGCTCATCTGCGGGCTATGGCTGCTCGCGTGCGCGGGGAGCTCTGCGACGTTCGCGATCTACTCGCCGGCGCTGAAAGCCGTGGGTGATTACAACCAGCGGGAGGTGGACGGGCTCGCCGTGGCGAAGGACATGGGCGAAAGCGTGGGGTTACTGCCCGGGCTGCTGTGCGACGCGCTGCCCGTGTGGGCGCTCGTGCTCGTCGGGTCGCTGCACTATGTGGTCGGCTTTAGCGGGCTGTTCGCCGTCGCCACTAAGCGCATCCTGCCGCTGCCGTTCTGGCAGGTACGCGCGGAGGAGAGTGTGGGGAAAGGGGGATAAGGGAGCGCGCACGGGTGGGCGTGAGGGGAAGAGAAGGGGGATGGGCGGTGAGGTGGCGTTGGAATGGAGGATGCGGAGTGGGGATTATGGGGATGGCGGGACGGGAAGGAAGAGTGCAAGCGAATGCGGGAAGCGGGCGCGTGAGGGAGGAGACAGGGGATGGGCGGAGAAGGGGGGGGCGGGGGAATGGGGCCGGATGGAACCCGCACGGTAGTGCGAGGCCCGCGGCAGTTTTATGCCTTTGATTTGTCGATTTGAATCGCCTTTTCGTTCCTCCCACATTGCCACCCTCACTGCTCACCCCTTTCCCCCACCCGCCAATCCTCCAACTCCCCCCCTCTTCCTCCCCGCTCCCTTTTTCCACCTCGTCCACTCCGCATTCCCCCTCTCCCCCACCCTACTCCCTGCTTCGTGCCCGCCTCCCCCGCGACGCGCGCGCGCGCGCGCAGATGTGCGGGCTGATGCTGATGGGGTCGCAGGGCACGGCGTGGTTCAACACAGCGGTGCTCGTCACGTGCGTGCGCAACTTCCCGCGCTCGCGCGGCTCGGTGGTGGGGCTACTCAAGGGCGTGGTCGGTCTATCGGGTGCCATCTTCACGCAGGTGTACGCCGCGCTCATCGCGCCGGATCAGGCGGCGTACCTGGGGTTCATCGCCGTCGTGCCGCCCCTCGTGTCGCTCCCCGCCATGACGTTTCTCAGGTGCGTCGAGGTCGCGCTGCGTGGATGCACGAGTTGAACGAATTAGGGAGGTGACAGGAGTGTTGGAGTCGAATTTATTTTGTTAGTAGTCGTTGCTTCAGTGGCATGTGCCAGGCCACTTAAAACGCCATCCGTTATATAGCAGGTCAATCAACACTGTCCCCCTGCCCCACATTCCCATTCCGCCCCTCCCCATCAACACTGCCCCCCTTCCGATTCCCGCCGTCCCCGTTTCCCCCCGTTTCCCCCCGCGCGCTGCAGGCCGTCGAAGCGGCTGCGCGCGGGGCACTGCACGGCGCACGAGACGGAGCGCGACGTGCGGCGGCGCGAGGAGCACGAGGCGCAGACGCTGCACACGTTCCTGGTGATCGCGCTGGGGCTCGCGGCGTACCTGCTGCTCGCCATGCTGCTCCACGACAGCAACTCGTCCCAGCAGGTGCGCTCAGTGGGGACGGGGGGAAAACAAGGGGAAGGAGGGACGGGGAGAAGGGGGGCTCGCGGCTTACCTGCTGCTCGCCATGCTGCTCCACAACAGCAACTCCTCGCAGCAGGTGCGCTCAGGGGGGACGAGGGGGGGGGAATGGGGGGAAGGAAGGAAACGGGGAAATGGGGGAACGGGGGAAGGCGGGGATGCGGAGGCGTGGGGAGACGGGAGAGTGTGGTGACGGGGATCTGGAAAGGGGGAAGAGGGAGGAGTGGCGGAGAGGTAGAGGGGCGGAGGAAGTGGGGGAGATGAGAGTGGAGTGGGGCGGTTTCTGAGTCGACTCAAAAGTCTACTGGGGCGGTTGGGTGAGACGGAGAACGATGGGAAGGGGTGAGTGGCCATCGTGTGTGCGGTGCCTCACTGTGATAGCAGGATTGCTGCCTGCCTGCCTGCTCCCCCTCTCCCTCCAATGCTTGCTTGCCATCGCCACCACCACACATCAAACTCACCATTCCCCCCTTCCTCCATCTGCCTCTTCCCTTCTTCCTTACCCATTCTCCCTTTCTTCCCCACAACCCGTTCCCCTCTTCCCCCCCGCCCACCTGCCCCCCACGCCCTCCGCAACCCCTTCGCCCCATCTTCCCCCCATCTTCCCCCATCTTCCCCCATCTTCCCCCCATCTTCCCCCCGTCTTCCCCCCATCTTCCCCCCATCTTCCCCCCATCTTCCCCTATCTTCCCTTAATCTTTCCCCCATCTTCCCCCCATCTTCCCCCCATGGTCCGCAGTTCAACCGGGGCATACTCGCGGGGATGGTCTCCTTCCTGCTGCTGCCGCTAGCCACCTTCCTCCCCCCGCTCTTCCCCACGTCCTCCGCGCTCCCATCCACCACGCTCACCCCCACTGCCTCCGTCACTCCCCCCAAGTCCCGCCGCCCCTCCGCGGAGGATGGGGGCGCAGGCGAGGGGGTGCTGGAGAGGAGCCGCACGTGGGACGGGGGGGAGGTGGGGGGAGCAGTGGGGGCGGGGGCAGCGGGGAGACTGGGGGGAGCAGGGGGAGCGGGGGGGGAAGAGGGGAGGGAGGAGCGGGCAGTGATGCTGGGCAGCTTTCCAGAAGACGAGGCGCTGCTGGGAGGAGGGGACAGGCGGGGGAGGGAGGGGGAGAGGGAAGGCGGGGGGGCGGGACGAGGAGTGTTGGAGCACAGTGAGAGCTACGACTCATTGCTGTCAGACATCAGCCGCGTCAGCTCCCTCGCTGACCTCCAGTCCTACTTCTCTCGCGCAGGCGGGGGCGGAGGCGGAGGGGGAGGGGGAGGCGCGCTAGGCATGCCCTTGCCCGTGGGCATGGGCGCGGGTGGCGGTGGTGCCATAGGGGTTGCTTCGGGAGCGTACTGGGCGGCGGAGGGGAGCAGCAGCATGGGCGCGGGTGGTGGGTCGGCGGGTGCTTTCCTTGCACTGCAAGGCGTGGGGGGCAGCAGCAGCAGCAGCCCCATGGGCGGTCAGCAGGGGGGGAGTTCCAGCAGCACGGGAGGGTATTATAACCCTCCGCCCGGCTCTATTCCCCCCCCCTCCTCCTCCTCTGCGTCCTCCTCCTCCTCCGTGGTCGCGCTAGCACCTGCGAGGGCCAGGCCGGTGTTCTCGCAGTCCACTTTCTCCCCGCCCACGCCTGCCTTCACCATTGGCGCCTCGCCCCCGCCTCCTGCACTCACTCTCACTGCTGATCCTGCTGCCGCCGCTGCTCCCGTTTCTCCAGCTGCAGGCACAGGTGCCGGGGGCAGTGGTGCTGCTGCTGGTGCAGGTGGTGGTGCGACCGCACTGCGCAGTCCAGTGGGTCTGGCAGCGGCCCTGGCACCAGCGTCACAGCGCTTCTCCTCGCTGCGCCCCTCTGCACAAGGAGCCTCCTCTGACTCGGCGCGCAAGGGAGCCCCTGCTTCCGCATCGGCGGGTGGTGGCGGTGCTGGGGACGTGCTGAGGGAGCCACTCTTGACACGGCAGCAGGAGGAGGAGGGGGAGGAGGTGGAGGGAGAGAGGCGCGCAGCTGGAGCAGCTGCTGCAGCACCAGCAGTAGCAGCAGTTGTAACGCCTAGAGCAACAGCAACAGCCGGAGCAGCAGCAGCAGCGCCACCCGCACTGCCTTTTCCTCCACCCACCACCTCCGCCTCGTCCCACTTCTCCTTCCTCTCGCGCTGCCTGCCCGTCTCTTGTTGGCCCCTCCGCCCGTCCACCAGCCTGCCAACACAGCAGCAGCTTCAGCACCACCACCACCACCACTACACAGAGGAGGAGCGGCGGCGCAAGCAGGCGGAACTACTCCTGGCAGTGGGCGAGGGCGCAGTGCGCGTGGGAGGGGGCAGGCGGCGGGCAGGGCCGCGGAGAGGCCAGGACTTTACCCTGCAGCAGGCGGCTGTGAAGGCGGATTTCTGGCTGCTGTTTGTGTCGTTCCTGTGCGGCACGGGCAGTGGGCTGACGGCGATTAACAACCTGGCGCAGATGGGCGCGGCACAGGGGTACTCGAGCGTGCGCGTGTTCCTGTCGCTGCTGAGTGTCAGCAACTTCGTGGGGCGCCTGCTGGCGGGATACGCGTCGGAGCATGTGGTCAAGTGGGTGCTGGGGGAGTGGGTGTGGGGTGCTTGAGTGCATGGGTGCATGTGGTTGTGGACACATGGATGCGTGGATGCATTATAGCAAGCACGGAGTTCACAAACCTGCATGACCGAACCGTCCTGCTCCTCTCCCCTCTTTCGCTTCCCACCCCTGTTCCAATCCTCATCCTCCTTCCTGCTCTGTCTGTCTTCCCTCCTCCTCCCCTCTCCTCCCTCCTCCTCCCCTCTCCTCCCTCCTCCTCCCCTCTCCTCCCTTCTCCTCCCCCCTCCTCCCCTCTCCTCCCCTCTCCTTCCTCCTCTCCCTCCTCCCTCCCCCCCAGGGACCACATGTTCCCACGCCCCGTGCTGCTGCTGCTAGCGCAGGCCCTCATGGCAGTGGGCCACATATTCTTCGCGCTCGCCTTCCCGTCCTCCCTGCACCTAGGCTCCGTGATAGTGGGGCTGTGCTACGGCGTGCACTGGTCCATCATGCCCGCCACGGCCAGTGAGATCTTCGGCCTCAAGCACTTTGGCATGCTCTACAACACGCTCACTGCTGCTTGCCCTATGGGCTCCTTCGTCTTTTCTGGGATGATTGCGGGGTACTTGTATGATCGGGAGGCGGAGAAGGATCATGGTGGGGGTGGGGGCGGGGGTGGCAACGGGGTGGGGGGAGGGTGGGGGGTTGGAGGGGCTTGGCCGTGGAGCTGGGTGGGTGCGGCTGCTGGTGCTGGTGGGGGAGGAGGAGTGGTAGGGTTTGCAGGGGGCGCTGGTGCATCTCCTGCTGTGGCACACACGGTTGCTTCTGCTTCGGACTCTCTGGCCCGCCGGGTCTTGCGAGCAACATCTGGAGTGCTGATGCATAGCAACAGCAGCAGTGGCAGCAGCAGCAGCAGCAGCAGTGTGGTGACGCAAAGCATGAGCAGTGGGGGCAGCAATGGGTTGCATGTGCCGGAATGGGTGGCTTCAAGCAAAGTCCATGAGTGCTACGGCGCACACTGCTTCCGCCTCACCTTCTTCATCATGGCTGCCGTGTGCCTCTTTGGGGTGTGCATGAACCTCATCCTAATTCTGCGCACCCGTGTTGTGTACGCGTCGCTGTATGCCCAGCCTGACGCCAAGGCTCGGAAGGAGGAGGCAGAGGTGCGGGCTGCTGCTAGAGAGGTGGTTTCTGCGGCTGCTGCTGCTGCGCGGAGGGCCCGGTTAGAAGGGCACGGAGGACGACGAGGGGTGGACCAATTGGTAATGCAGGGTCGAAAGACTTAACATTGTTTGTGTGAGTTTTTTTTCTCGCAGAGCACGGAATCCCATAGGAGAACTAAAGGCAACAGAGCATTAATCAAAATGGTTCTCATTTATTGGAAAGAAGGCATAGTTCCAAAGGCTGGTTCTTTAGTCCAAGAAGTTGTGCGCACACCTTGTATGGAGGAAGGACAAGGTGTGCTCCGGTGGATCCGTACAGAAACGACTCGTGAGGTGATAGCCTCCAAGCGCTGCTCGTTAGTATCATTTCTCCCTCACTGGCCTCTCGTAGCCCCTTCCTCCTGCGCCGCGGGTGACGAATCGCAGATGCTTCATTAGGGTGCCAACCAAAACCCCCCTGCAACAGGTCAGCCCGAAAGGAAACGAATTCCATCAGCAGTCGCATACTTTTTGTTCATTTGAACCATAACTCTGGTTCTTTGAAGGAAGGTAATTTCAGAGTGGAGCTTTAGTGCTGCGTTTATAATTACTGGTAGTAGGAACCGCAGCACAGTACTTTTTCAAATTACCAGCCTCCCGCTTGTTGCGCCAGCTCTTCTCCTTGCGAGCGCGATGCGAGCGTGTGGGAGTGATCCAACGAAACTGCTGAGCTGAGTCGTGCCAAGGATTCAAGACCACCTCCATCTGTGCCGTGCTGTTGCTCAATGCTCATCACACTTCTTTTTCCACACCAGTCCGCCCCACCCACCCACCACCCACCATCAACCCCCCAGTGGCAAGGCATTGTTCAAATATCACACTCCCCGCTTATCTAGCGGTAAAACCCGTTTGCGGTATGTCAATTATGATCAGTACTCAATCGAGCGCTACGCACGGCGGTTTTCCAAGCTGGAGCTGAATTCGATTATCACGGCTTCAGAACCCTATTTTCCACCTCGTGGCCTTCCACCTTGGCGCTGGCAGCTGGAAAGTAGTATTTCCACGTACTTACCTTATCATGCGTAAGTAGCATGGGCAATGTTAAGAGCAGATTGCGACGAAGTAGCTCGTCGTCGTCGTCGTCGCTGTCGTCGTCCGCCTATAGCGATCGCTCGCCAGCCTATCCTCGCCGCATTCGCGACTTAGGGCGGCAGAAGTCAGAAAGCGAGGTAGCAAACCGCCGGTTAGAAAGATCACGCGCCTCTCGCGCTGCGTCCTTGCGGCGTGCGAGGCTTCCCAGGAGCGGCATTGTGTTAGAAGGTCTATGTGCACGCGGCTTACACCATCACCTCGTCTGTGCATCTGACAGTGATGCTTTGGGCTAGTGAGGCGCTGGGTTCAGTCAGCCCGGCTCGGTGCGCTACAGGCACCACTGCCCGCCTACAGAGGAGACAAAACAATACGGAGAGTCCTTCGCCCAGGTTTGGTTCACCGAGTCATGGTTCTAGCGAGACTAAAGCGGATGCGTTTTGTGACGAGTGCGACACAGAGGGCCACCTGACACCTCGTCACACTCGGAGCAGCCTGAGCCTTTGCCTGCCGTTCGATCTCTGCAGCCAATCGTGTTCGTCCAGCGACTGCAGCTCCCCGCCAGCCCTCATTTTTCCCGCGCATCCCGGCGAGCCCCTTTCCAGATACGTCCCCACAGGCCACACTCTCGGTCGCGGCGCCTTCGGCACCGTTCGCGTGTGCCGCGACTCCGCAACAGGCGCCGAGGTCGCCGTCAAGACAATTTCGAAGCGGATTCTTGCGCAGGACAATCCGGATTTTGCGGATGACCTCCGGCAGGAGGTGGCTATCTTGCGGCTCGTCTCCCGCAGTGAAGTGAGCGGCGTGGTGCGGCTGCTAGACGTGCGGGAATCGCGCGATCACGTGCATCTCGTCATGGAGCGGTGCAACGCCGGGTCGCTCTCGGCCCTGATCAAGTCGCGTCAACGGCTACCTGAGCACGAGGCTGCTGACGTCATCAGGCAGCTGCTTACGACAGTAGCAGGGCTTCACAATTTAGGAGTGATTCACCGAGACTTGAAGCCCGAGAACGTGCTGCTTTGTTGCCGCAATACTAGCTGCATGGCCACTGCTGACTGCCAGACCTGCAGTCGAACGGGAATAGACGCGATCAACGGTGTTTCCAGCAACAGCGGCGACACAGCGCGCGAGGACTGCGCAGTGAGCGGACGGAGGAGAAGCGAAGATAGCAGTTGCTCGAGCAGCGAGAGCGGCAGCACCAGCGCTAGCGCCAGCGGCAGCCCTAGGATTCCCTCCTGCCCGAGCGGCTGCAGTTGCGACGACAGTGCTTGCAGCAATGACGAATGCAGTTGGTCGAGCAGTCGTGGCGGCGCGAGAACCCCATGCCACTGGAGCGTAAAGCTCGCGGACTTCGGCCTCGCCGTCTGCCTCCCCGCGCCGTCCGCGCAGATCCGCGGAGTGGCGGGCACGGCGTTTTACATGGCGCCGGAAGTGGCGCGCGGGCGGCTGTACGGGCGGGAGGCGGACATGTGGTCGCTGGGCGTGGTGCTCCACGTGCTGCTGTCCGGCCGCCTCCCCTTCTACGGGCGCACAGAGGACGAAACGCGGAAAAGGGCGTGTGCGGGCCACGTGGTGTTCTCAGAGAAGTACTGGGCGGGAGTGCAGGGGCAGCGCGGCAGGCGGTGCTGCAGATGCTGACGGTGGAGCCGAGGTGGCGGGCCACAGCTGAACAGGTGCTGTGCTGTGACTGGCTGAGGGAAACAGGGCAGCGCTGAGATTAGGGCGATGAACAAGAGGAGGAATCTGCGGGTCTCCACCTCGGTACCTGCTGCACAGAACTGCTGTTGTTGGCAAAGCTGGATAGGAGCAGCTGCACTGCACTACACACACGGCACTGGGCACATCCAGAAAGTCCTTTCACGTGTAGGTATTATACGGTACTTTTCTCTACCCGGTTCAGGGACATGCGAATAGTGAGGTTAGTTAGGAGGGTAAGCAAGCCAGCCTGCTTATGTATCTCGTGTAACATACGCTGGTGATAGCACATTCTCCATACCATACAAGCATCCCAAGTGAAAGTGGGATGTATAAAGTGCTGCAATTGCACAATACACCAACATGCCATCCGTCGGATGGGATGGGACAGAGATCTTACGGTAGGTCAAGGAGGGATAAACAAAGATGTTGCCAAGGCTGCTGGGATCAAACTCTACAAGCCCACATGCAATATTAACAATGGCACAGTAAGAAAGGGTTCGGAGACCCCCAAATGCAGCCCCCTACCCTCCCAAAATGAAAGCAAAAAGCAAAAATGAGCAAAAATAGCAACAAGTGTGGCACCTGCTTAGCTTACTACATACCGTACTAAGATCAGAGACATTCCCACCCAACAAGGGCCGGAGACCATTATACAAGCGCCACACTTTGACTCTGCAGGCAAGTGGGCACATGGAGGAACAAGTGTGATTCCCACTAGGGCATCCTCTGTTCCACACACGAGCGGTGAGCAACCAAGCCTTCGGTGCCATGCAAGACCACCCAACCCTTGCCTGCGCAGCATCAGTAATGCCTATCACACATGCACTCCGCTTTACAGAACAGCGCCACGTCAGCATGAAGCACGTTTGCCATCTTGTAGCACCTCTGTGCTCTGCGCCCTTCCAGTATCCACCACCTGCACAACAGCCCCTCGATGCCTCGCTCCATGCACCCCCTCACCTCACCCCCTTCCTGAGATGCTCCTGCTTCGGCCCCATCTGACACTGCCACTGCCACTGCCTGAAAAGGACCACGGCAGCAGCGAGGACGTGCTGCGGCGGTGCGACGCCTGCCCATTGGATCCCTGCATATCCACGCTGCCTGTCGACCCGCTATACTCCCCCCCTCCGCCCCACCGGCTGCTCAGCCCCATGCTGCTCTCCCCCGCGCCTACCCCCGCTCTAGCGCCCGCGTCTCCCCCCAGCTGCGCGGACAGCTTCACCACGTGCCACTGGTTGTCCGCTGGAACCGACCCAAACCGCTCCCGCGCCTCCAGCGTACACACGAACTCCTCTGAAAACCCGCTGCTGCTGCTGCTGCTGCTGCGGTTGCTGCTCTTGCGCCGCCACGCCCTCCCGCTCTTCCCCCGCCGCCGCGGCGGCACCCGCGCCTGTGTGGTGGAGGCGGCCGCGGAACTGGATGCAGTGCGCGGCGGGGAAGGAGCCCTGCGAGGGCACGAACCACGCGCGGCAGGGCGCGGCGGAGAGCTCGAGGGAGACGTCGGGGCGGTTCTTCTTGGTGGCGACGCAGCTCAGCGTGAGCGCGTCCACCCAGTCCGCCGGCAGCTCGTACTCCGTCGGCGCGCGCGCACGCTTCGCGCGGTTGAAGGCGCCGGGGGGGCCGTCGATGGGCGGAAAGCCGGTGGCGACGGAGAAGAAGTGGTGATACGGCTTGGTTCCGCTCAGGTCTGCGCGTACGGGGGGGAAGAGGGGGGCGGGGGTGGGGGTTGGAGGGGCAGGGGGAGGACAGGGAGGCAGGAAGATGAAAAGAGAAGTTTTTAAACGGAGGAAGGGAGGCTGAGACGCGGGAAAGCGAGGAGGAAGGGGGGAGGGGAGCGTTAACAGAAGCAACAAGAGTTACCTTTGAGCGAGCAGGAGAGCACCCAGAAGCTGTTCTGAAAAACGTCGATGGCGAACACTAGCTGATCCGCCGTCAGCGCGCGCGGCGCTCTTGGCATCAACGACCACCATGAGCGCTCGCGCCGCCTCTCATCCGGTGTGCAAACCTGCGCGCCCGCCAATCCGCCATGGCTGGCATTCTCGCTGCTGCGTCTGCGTGTTCTGACCCTGCCCTGCAGTTCGTTACTGGGACGCGGCACCTGCCCGTGACTACCCGAACCCATGCCGAAGTTTGCCGGATTAGACGACACGTCAAAAATCAACGTTGTTTCTTCGAAGCTATTTAACTGCCAGCACGACGACAGTCGACCGTCGTACGTTAGAGCGACAAACGCGCAGCTCTGCTGCCCGTGCGCAAAAGCCAGTTGCGCTGCGTTATTCTTGGAGACCTCGCGTGGGGGACGCTAGGCGAAGCAACTGGGCGCCGGAGAAGGAGGTGACAAACGAGCAACGGACGGCGGCAGACGGCCACAGTAAAGCGGTATGAGAAACGCGGTGCAGGGTGCGCCTGGGCTCTGAAGGGGAGAACTGTTGACCGCGCAAAAGATTTGCGGACGAAGGTGTGGCTGGCGGAGGAGGCGATTATGCCGAAGTCCAAAAGTCTTCAATTCATACAAAGCTGCCTGCCCAAGCGCACTGCCCGCTGCCCAGTGAGGAATTGCCCGCACCGAAAGCAGCCGTTTGTGTGGTTCGCTTGTCCACGTGGGCAATGCTGAAAGGCCCGTTCCACTGCAACAAAATTTCGTGACTCTGAATCCCTGCCAGCCCCTCCGCAGTCCGCACCAAATAAGATTCCCTTGTTGTGCCGTCAGTTGGGTAAAGGATTTGAGTACGGTGCAGTACAGTTTTTCCGGGTTGAAGTTGAGAATTGAGTACAGTACGGTGCAGTACAGTTCTTACGGGTTGAAGTTGAGAGCACAGTATGGTGCAGTACATTTCTCAGGGGTTGACGTTGAGAGTGTGGTACAGTACGGTGCAGTAAAGTTCTTACGGGTTGAAGTTGAGAATGGAGTACGGTACGGTGCAATACTTTTCTCACGGGTTTGGGGGAGAGGATTACAGTACGGTGCAGCACAGTTCGTACGGCTGAAGAGAGGTACAGGAAGCCGCTATAGGCTCCTGGGTTTTGCACGACCCTTGAAATAGGGCGCGTGCTATGTCGATGTTGTTGAGCTTCGCGCCTGTACCCCCAACAGACAAGCCGACGACTAATAAGTCCGTCCTGACTCACGTTCTCACAGTATCGCTTGGGAGGTGCGGTGCGACCCGACACATTAGTTCAGCTTCAAACGTTAACTCAACCCAGATTTGCTAGCTCCCGGAGCTCGCCAGCATGTGGTGCACATCTGTGCGTCCCTCCGCGGCTCTTCTTGAGGCCTCCGCAGCATCGCTATGGGCTGCTTCATCGCGAGCGAGGTACGCTTGCTGCTCGCATTGCGTTCACGGTTCGCGCATTCGCGCATTCGTAGCCGCACGGACTCGTCGAGCAACAGCGAGTCGACGGCCAGTGGCGATGGCAGGAGGTCTAATGTCAGCGGACAGTCGCTATCACTGGCGATGAAACTGCTGCGATGACTATCCGCCATGCCTTAGAATCTCGCGTTTCATCTTTCATTTTTGGATCTCGTTCCTTCTTTGTTTTCCTCGTTTAACTGACTCCCGCCCGGCCCGTACCTGCTTCCTCCGTTCTCCCTACCTGCAACATCTCTCATTGTCGGCCTCTTGATAACGAGTTAGCTCCATTGCTGCCCATCCTGTATGCCACATCCTCGCAGTGCCTGCGGCTCGCGTTGTCACCTGCGCCTGCCCTCCATTCAGCCACTCAGCCTACCCCGCGCTGATCGCCCACGAACCCGCCGCTCTCCATCGCTCCACGTTGTGGCCGTTGGTTGGGTGCGCCCTCCTTCAAACTCCGCACACACACACACACACACACACACACACACACACACACACACACACACACACACACACACACACACACACACACACACACACACACACATAAATATACATACATTGTCTTTATGATTTAATTATTTTGCATGGATCCCCCTTCCTCGTTCCTTCGCACTCGCATAAAAACGAGCATCTCCACAATCTCATGCACACGCGTTAAGCCCAATATCTTCATGCGGCTCTCAGGCAGCCTGCTGTCCAGGTCGCACCTGAACACCTCTCTCCGCTCCCTTGTGCCCCTCCGCTCCCTTGTGCCCCTCCGCTCCCTTGTGCCCCGCCGCTGTTCCCCTGGACGCCACGTCAGGACCCAGAGGGCATACTGGCGCCGCCCCAGCCAGGGCACATTGCACGGCGCAAGGCGCAGCACCAGATGGTGGACGAGGAGGCCGAGAGGGCCAAGCGAGAAGCCGCCGCTAAACAAGAAGCCGCCAGGAGAAGGGAAGCGCGCGCCGTGCGTCCCTCAAAATTCCCTGCACTCTCTCTCTCTCTCTCTCTCTCTCTCTCTCTCTCTCTCTCTCTCTCTCTCTCTCTCTCTCTCTCTCTCTCTCTCTCTCTCTCCTCTCTCTTCCCCCCTTGCTTTTTTTCTCTTCTATTTTGTCTCTTTCGTGACGAGAAGAAGTACAATCAGTGACTGACAAGCAGTCCTTTGAGCAGCAAGCATTCACTGCAAGCTGACGCAAAGAGTAGTCTCCAAAGTGACAGCTACTCACTGTTTTTGTGTTCCTCAATCTACGCATTATCCCATTGATTGCTCCTGCACACATCCCCCTCCTCGTGCCTTTCCTGTGTGTTCGCGTCGCCCTGCATGCCATGCCGTCCGACCCGGTGTGACTGCATGAGAGCAGAGCCGAGTGGTACCGGACACGGACGAGGGGCTGATAGAGTTCTTTCTCTCCACGGAGGTCCCGGACATGGAGGCTGAGATCGCGCGCTGCCGCCCGCGCCTCACGCCCGCGTTCTTCACGGCGCTGCGCACGGCCATGGGGCAGCTGCGCTTCGCGGCACGCCCCTCTGCTGATGATGCGGACAAGCTGGCGGAGCTGGAGGCCCTGGAGACGGTGCTGCAGGAGGGCATAGGTGAGAGCTAGGGGGGACTAGAGTGGTGTTCGTGCAATGGGTTGTATATGAGAGTTATAGGTGAGGGGCAATGTGTGAGGTAACTGAGGTTGCTTGCGGAGGGGATTAGGTTAGGGTTGCAGGTAACGAGAGCCACACACTGGTTGAGAGCCAGCTGTCAAGTGAGTCTGGCACATGGTTCGAATGTGGCAATTCAGTGTCTCGGTCTCTTCAGCACCTCTACTAGCTTGAAAAGTATGAACCGATGAACAAAAAATGAGATCTCCTTGTCATCTCCTTGGTTTCGATTTTGTGCATCCTGTTGTGCGTGGTCACCTCCCCTCTGCATCAGCTGCGTACGATGCCCTGGAGAAGGCGATGACGGGTGCAAAGGAGCGGCTGCAGCGCCTGCTGTCAGCCAAGGACAAGCGCGCAGAGCTGCTGGCCATGGCAGCCAGCAACGAGCTCGACAGGGACCTGCTCGCCCTGCTTGATGAAAACATTGCTGCTGCCACTGCTGCCAACCAGGTCAACGCCCCCTACCTCCCCTGCCTTGCTGCCTATCGTCCCTCATTTCTCCTGTCCCAGATTCTCTCTCCCCCTTTTTCGCCCTGCTTCCCTCCCTCCCATTTCTCATGCCCATTCCATTTCTATCTTCCATGGTTAGCTAAACTGGCGTAGCTTAAAGAGGTAAAGATGTACTTTTCTTTCTTTCATTCCTCTTCCATTACTCTCTCTCACTCTCCCACCACCTACCTTTAACCTCCTCATTCTTTCCTCCCTTCCTTCGCTCTCTCAGTGGGAGAGCCTGTCCGTTCCTCCTGCCTCCCTATCCTCTCCTCCCTCCTGTGCTGATTCCTGTTGCTCTCATCGTCCTACTTTTCTGATCAAAAAAATAATCCATGACCTGTGCATATTGGTTGTGTATCGAGCCTTTATCTTACACTCATGTGGGTGTGTTGCATTGTTTCAATTGTGTGTGTGCCCTTACTGCAGAAGGAAGCAGTTGAGTTCATGGAGAAGGTGCGTGGGGCCATGGTCAAGTATATGGTCAAGTCATGAAGTTTTCTGGGCACATCACTGAAGCTTCTCTTTAACACTGATGATTAGTTCATGGAGAACTGAAAAATAATGATACTATCATCTCTTCTTCACATTTTCTGTTTTCTTCGATTCTTTGCTTCATAATAACCTACCATATACATTATTCAATTCTTTGCTTCATAAAAACTAGCACATACATCCTCCAGAATTTGATCGTTGCGTCAATTATCCCATGCAACAACCAACCCCTTATTATTCATAAACAGGAATAGACATCAATCAGAGTGATTATAAGTCTAGTTAAATGTTCGCATCACGTACAGAGTGGAAACGTGCTGTCAAACAAACTGAGCTGACGAATAGCACTCAACTCAAGAGCGGCCCAACCCAACACACTGCCATAAGGGAAAAGAAAAAGATCACGCCCCTCACAGCCCACATTCCTCTCCCGCAACACCCCACCAACCCCCAACCCCCTCCCCTCTCCCTCACATCCGTGGAGCCCACAGATACTTTGCCTCCACCCAGAGAGGCCCCCCCCCCCCCCTTGGTCCTCCCTGTCTTCACTGTCCTCCCTCTCCTTAGGTGATCAATACAGCTTCTGCTTGCGATTTCAGTATGGTTTTTGTTAAATAGCTGAAAGACGTACAGTTCTATTGAACAGGTCAGGTTACCATCGTTTTAGCTCATACCAGGAGGCAGGGTGAAGCTAGGGCCGCGGGTGAGGATGGCATACAACAGCCCAGCAACAGTTGCTGCCAGAGGTAATGTCAGCAGCCAACTGAACCCAGCTACAGCAACCATTGCCCAGTTGATGGCGCGCCAATTGCCATGGCACAGACCTACAGCCACAGTGGAGCCGACGATGCATTGCGTGGTGGAAACAGGCAGCGCCAGGAACGAGGCCGTGATGACAGAGAGGGCCGCTCCCAGCTCCATGCAGAATCCGCGCGAGGGTGACTGGTACGTGAGGTTGTTGCCGAGATTGCGCATGATGTTGTAGCCATCTGTGACGGACGGGCATAGTGGAAATGAGATTGGCTCAAACGAGATCGGGGGAGTTTGGGGCAAAGCGGAAGAAACAGGCGAAGGAGACATGTTCACTCACAGAGGGCGAGGCCGAAGTCGATAGCAATGCCCGAGTACGCGAGCATCCACCGTGGCACTTCGGCTGTGGTGCTGAAGTAGCCTTCGCTCCATATCTGATAGACGCCAGCCAGGGGGCCGAGGGCATTGGCGACATCGTTGGAGCCGTGGGAGAAGGAGGCGAAGGACGCTGTGACGACTTGCAGCAGCGAGTAGAGGTACTCCGTCTTGTTGTCGTACACCACGGCCACCTCCTGCGCCTGCGCGGCGCCGTGGTTGTCCTTCTGCACCGTCGCCACGTCCATGAAGACGGAGCGGTACAGCAGCAGCTTCACCTTGTTGAACGCGCGCACTGCCAGGTTCTTCGACGGCGGCCTCGCGAGCTCGTCCTTGGAGCCGTCCTCCGCGTCGTCCACCTCCATGCCCAGCTCGCGCTTCTCGTCGTCCTGCAGCAGATGCGGCGTGAACGCGCGCTTGAGCCACAGGTCGATCTTGGGGTCTTGAGGCTGTGTGGGCGTGCAGTGGATGATGAAGATGTGGTACCACTTGAGCGTCTCCTCGTTCTGTAGCCGGCGGATGAAGTACGGCACCAGGAAGCCGGCGCAGAAGATCAGCATAGCCCCGGTTATAGCGCCGATGATGCCGAACGCCAGACCGACGTTTCCTGTCATCTGGAGGCTTCCCCCCGTCGACTTCGGCTTGATCTCCAAGGTGGTTTGGCCATTCTTCGACACAACATAGAAGGAGACTATGAAAGTGGTTATGGTGAAATATACGGGAATAGCCCAAATACCCCTCTTGAGGGAGTTCTTGCTCTTCATGACCACATGCAGTGTGATTAGATAGATCACAGCCGCAATTATGCCCGCAAGGATCGGAGACACGAACCACGATGTCACGATCTGCGCAACACCCTTTCCGTCCCAACCCCAGTTAACAGAATCAAAGCCGTAGCCGCTGATGCCTACGCCGATGAGCGCTCCAATGATCGAATGTGTGGTTGAGACGGGCCAGCCCATGTACGTTGCGAACATGACCCACGACGAGGATGACACCAGAGCACACAGAAAGCCCGACATCAGCAAATCTGGACGCGAGTTGAAGTTGGCGGTCTTTATTATGCCATCCTTCACAGTCTTCGTTGTGGTCGCGCCCAGCGCTATCGCTCCACCGAACTCCGTGAATATCGCAATGAAGACAGCCTGCGCCAGCGTGATGGACCGCGAGCCCACCGAAGTCGCGAAAGAGTTGGCGACGTCATTGGCACCTGAGAACAATACCAAGACATAACTTTAATATTGGACGGACTCGAACAGTGAGTGGAAGGGTGAAATGTAAAACTGACAATAACTTACCAATGGAGTAGCCATCCAAGAACGCAAACAGCATGGTCAAGACGAAGATCCATGTGTACGAGTGTATAGGGAGTGTGACAGACGCCATTGCGGGAGTCTTGCGGACCAAACTTCAGAGCGGGATTCTACTTGTGAGTGCCCGATAGTCGGGCTGAAGTTTTGGGGTTCTGGGATCTGGGCTAGTTGAGAGTTCTGTGAGTTCGGATCCGCTTTTGAGCGAGGAGAACTCCTCCGAGACAGGAACAGCAGAATGGTTGGGATGGGAGGCGCTCGCTCTCCTCAAGCGTGTCACCGCGTCGTCCCTAACCTGGCTCCATGAATATCGCTGAATCAGATAAGTAGCCGCCACATTTGCGGCTCGCTGATTCAAGACCAATCAATTCTCGTTTTGGCACGCGAAGTTTGCAGGTTTGGAGGAATATTCCTTTGTTGAGCCAGATTACTGGCTTCGGATTCAGCTGTCAGATATTCCGAACCTCCATAGTTTTGCTTTTGTCAGCCTTGTCAGCATTCAAACACATCAGCAAAAATAAGGGTGTGTTCCTGGCTGGTGTCAAGCTTCGGGCCTTCCCGGGAAGACCCGAAGCTTTGGGTTAAAGTTCCTGTCAAACCTTGTGTTTTCCGGAAACAGGGGCAATTTTTGGCCGGAAGACCCGAAGTTGGTCTCGGATGACCCAAAGTGGTCTAACTTCCGGTCATCCGCAGATGACCGGTAGCTTGACACGCGCCTAAGATAGTTCGCGCATCAAATTGTAATTCTGGATTTTTATTTCCGGTGAATGGTAGGTCATTATAAAATCGAAAACTTTCTCAGTCATAGTTCTGGAAATATGATATTTCGTGGGAATCACACCCCCCCCCCCCCCCCCATTTCAACACACAGGAGGGTTTCTTCCATGAGGAACGATTTGTGAACTTGTGTTGGCACTCTCGGTTATTACCCAAGTATTGAATCAAAAGTTACTAACCTGTACCCTCGAATTCCTCATTGGTGACGCGTCAGCGATGGCACGTGCCCACCGACAAACTCGGTAATTCCACAGCTTCGAACGTGGTGGGGAGGTGGAGTGCTGGATGTTGCATCTCCCACATCACTGTACCGTAAACGCAGGAACACACTCCGCAAACGCGCCAACACACCTTTGGGATATTCAACAGCCCCCAAACATGGAGTTGATAAAAATAATGAATATTCCAATTGATGCATTTTCCTCAGCACATATCACTTTTTGTTTCCTATCACTTACCACCAATCCAGTCACTCTAGTCAGGGCAAGATGTGTCTTATAGAAACAATTCTTTCATTTCTTACACATTTTTCACAATCCATGCTTGGAACCAGGGCTGGCGTTTCAAATTTAGGTACCCTGAGTTCCACCTAAAAAATTTTACCCTAAAGGCACATTTTCCAAAAAAACAGCACCCTGATTACCCAGGGTTGAAAAGTAGTTAACTGTGATTGTTCAGGGTCGAGAATTGAACATCAGAGTAGTAACGCACTTGTTATCAGGGGAAAAAGTCTCACTCTGCATAGAGTATGCACTCTGTGTTTCAGGCACACATTGTGCGCGCTATTTTCTACCTTTTTACTTTTGACAAAACAGTATTTATCAAGACGTTTTAGCGCGGGGAAGAGACGAGCGATTTCGGTCAACCAAAAAGTTCTTATATTCGCCGAGTACGCGCAATTCGCCACCTTCGCTGTGCGAGACGCTAAAACATAATTCCAAGGAAGACGTAGCAAACGGTGCGAGAAGATAGCTTGTTCGCGGTGGTATCTCGGACAAGGCCGTGCGAACCCTAGACCCGAGCCAGCAACGCATCGCCAACCAACCCCGTCCAACACAGTGTAGGCGACGTCTCTGGCACGAAAACACGGGGCCAGAGGTTGAGCTGATGCGCGGCATAACGGACGGCAAATGGCCACAGAAAATGGGGAGCAGCTGCATGGATCATGGAGGTGCGAGCAAGCTCCATGATCAAGCCAATGTGGCGCTCAGCAATTCAATTCCGTTGCGCAGTGGCCGAAAGCGTGAACGACTGGGCGATGCCCTCCTCACGACAAAAAGCCTCGAGGAGGTGGGAGGAAAACTCACCGCCTCTGTAAGAGTGTAGACGCAGGACCGGAAGGTCCTGCCGGAACCGGAAGCGCAACTGGCTGTTGAGATAGCTAGGCAAGGTGAAGTTCACTATCGAGAGAAATTTTACAAGTAGGAAAACCCTAAGGGGTTATCCCCTATAACATCTACCCCACTACAGCCTACCTATATGTATCACACATATATATCATTTGACACACCCCCATAGGCAAAGTGGGGGAGAGCAACGGGTCACAAGACCAGTCAAGAGAAACAAAACAAGCTCAGGGTGGATCACAACGTCACCACACATTCTGAGCACAAGCAAATGGCCACAAGGCCAGTTCACATGCAGAGATATATATGCAGCAATGACAGTACAGTGTCGAGCTACCTAGCAAGAGCCAGCATGCAGGTATATATGTATATAGATCACAGTACAAGCAAAGACTACAGCAAGTGTGGAAACGTAGGCACAAGGCCTAACAGAGTACAAAAGCGCTGATGATCACCAGACGGAAGTGCCTTGGTGAATATATCAGCTGTGTTGGCCCGAGTGGCCACGTAACGAAGACAAAGCTGGCCTCGCTGCTGCAACTCTCGAGCCAGGAAGTAACGCAGAGCAATGTGCTTCGTTCTGTGCTCCAGTCTGTGCTCCTCACACAAGGCAATGGCGGCCTTGTTGTCAACGTACAGCACTGGAGGAGAACGAGGCTGCTCTCCCAAGTCAGTCAGCAGGTAGGTGAGCCAGCGTAACTCCTGTGCAGCCATGGCGGTGGCGTAGATCTCAGCCTCACAACTGGAGCCGAGAACTGAAGACGAGCGTGTAGAACGCCACGAAACTGAACCAGAGCCAAGGCTGAAGGTGTAACCCTGTGACGACCGCTGAGTAGCCAGGTCGTCAACCCAAGAAGCGTCTGAGTGCCCAGTGAGGACAACTGGGCTCGTCCCTCCAAGCACTAGCCCCATGCCTGATGTGCTGCACAAGTAGCGCAGTACCCTCTTAGCAGCAGCCATGTGCTCAGGTCGGTGTCGACCAGGAGCCACGTAGCGAGCGAGGAGACCAAGAGGGTACGCGAGGTCAGGTCGAGTGCAAGTCATCAGGTACATGAGGCAGCCGACTAGCTCTGGGTAAGGACCACTCGGCTCTACGGACTCGTCCGAAGGTGGAGCTGAGAGCGTGTGACCTGTAGCCAGAGGAGTGGCCTGTGCTGAAGACCAGGTGAAGCCGAAGCGCTGAAGGACCTGCTGCACCATGTGTGACTGAGTCAAGGTGATGGTGCGGCGTGCTCTGTCCCGGGTGATCTGCAAGCCAAGGTAGCTGCGCAGCTCACCCAAGTCAGTGCACGTGTGTCTCTTCTGTAGCTCCGACTTCACGTGGGCGAGAGCCTCAGTGTCAGCAGTGGCAAAAACCAAGTCGTCGACGTACACGAGGATGTAGAACGGCGGCAATGAAGTGTCTGCGCGCAGAAACAGCGACGGGTCAGCAGTAGAAGGCGCAAACCCAAGAGCCGCAAGTGTCGTCCTCAGTGTGTCGTGCCACTCACGTGGCGCCTGGCGGAGACCGTAGACCGGCCGTCGGAGGCTCCACTGGGTGCCAGGAGGGAACGACCCAGTGAAGCCCGGGGGGCGGCGCAGCCAGATCTCCTCGTGCAGGCTGCCCTGTAAGAAAGCAGTGCTGAAGTCAAGAGAGTGAAGCTCGTAGTCACGGTGAGCAGCAACGTGCAGCAGCACCCGAAGAGTGGTCATCTTCGGGGTGGGGGAGAAGGTCTGGAAGAAGTCAACTCCCTCTCGCTGACTGAAGCCTCGAGCCACGTAACGCGCCTTGAAGACAGGCGGAGAACCCGGCGGCCGCTTCACCCTGAAAATCCACATGCCACTGACGATGTTCGCCCCAGGTGGGGGAACCTCGTCGACATAGGTGCCTGTGGACTTCCAGGAAGCCATCTCTGCGTCCATGGCTGCCTGCCACTGAGAGGAGTAGGGACTCTCTATCGCCTCTGCGTAAGAGCGCGGAGTCGGGATGTCTGGTGCATCCGGGTCTCCCTCAGGGGCAAGTAGCGAGGACACAAGATGAGGTAAAGCAGCAGCAAGACATTGGAACTCCTCCTGCCTGTCCTCAAGGACGTCCGTGCTAAGAGCACACTCACCCCCGACGGACGGAGGACAGACAGACGCAGACTCAGCAACAAGACTGGCGGCGTAGTCTAGACGACAGGCAGCAGCAAAGTCAACAAGCTCAGCGACAAGAGCAGACGCAGCAGTAGACTCAAACGACGGGTCAGTAACAACAGTGGCTAGCAGACGCGTGACAGTAGGGTGCTCAGCACGAAACCGGTCAGACTCAGGGTCTGGAACGTCAGGTAGAGAGGACGCAGGAGGAGACGGAAGAGGAACAGGCTGCAGAGCAGAGGAAGGACGACGAACTACGAGGTGTGTGCTGGGGACAGCCTGCTGACGCGAACGAGGAACACGACGACCGGGACGAGCAGGCGAGACAGGACGCGACACAGGCTCACGACGCTCAGCAGGACTACCAGTCTGCTCAGTGTAAGGAGAAGGAGCAGGCAGCGGTGAGCCAGGCTGTAACGGAAGACCAGTAGACGACGGGAGAGTAAGAACCTGACGAAGAACAGAGTCAGACGGCGGCAGAGACGACGGAGACGGCGGAGCGAAGAACAGTCGTGTCGGCGCAGCTGCATCAGTACCGGCAGCTCCAGCAGCTCCAGTACCCCCAGCAGCTCCAGTACCTCCAGCAGCTCCAGAACCTCCAGCAGCTCCAGAAGCTCCAGTCCCAGAGTCGGCACCTCCAGTCCCAGGGTCTCCAGCCCCTGTGTCTCCAGCAGTAGCACCCCCAGAACCAGCACCCCCAGTCCCAGGGTCTCCAGCCTCAGTGTCACCAGCAGCAGCACCCCCAGAGCCAGCACCTCCAGTCCCAGGGTCTCCAGCCTCAGTG